GGGTGGCTTATTTCACCTGCATGGAGAGCTCCTTTGACGGCATGATGTCTGTTCACAGCAAAATCTTTTATTTCATTGTTTTTGTTTGTTAACAACTTGAAAACTGTCAGTGTGACAACAGTAAAGAGAGCCTATAACTCAATAACTTCAGCAAGTTAGAATGAATAAACGACTCTTATAAATGTGCTGTGTCTCATTATGAGTGATAATCAGCACCACCTTCACCATTTGCATGTTTCATATTCGTGTGTTTGTCTAAAAGGAGGATTTTACTCTACAAGCTCGTGTCCAGCTATTCTGTGATCAGCTGCTGCTGCTGATTAGTACACTAAAGGGTGACACAGTGACGTCAGACCTGGTTTCCTGCACAGATGTGGGAACAGCTGGCAGAGCTGCTTCATGATGACATCAACGAGTCACGCAAACAGGAACAAAGATGCAACACTTTCAGAACCTCGGGAGAAAATAAGTGAAGAATTTTATTTTCAATAATTCATCGATCAGTGATTTGAAGGAGGAAAAAAACCCTGTCACGTGACTTTGTGTTTCCCTGCTAACAACATGGCTGCGGAGGATCTGCCGTCTGAGTTTGACGTGGTCATTCTGGGCACAGGTACTCCAACACCTGGTTTTAGGCTGTCTTCTAACCCGGACCATGTCGTGGCCGGGGCTCGGTCCGAAACATCCCGGGATCCCGGTGTAAACCGGACAAAGCAGGGGTATGAGTAGGGATTAGCTTGCAGCTAACGGCCAGTGCATTTTCAATAGCAGCGGCTAGCCGTTAACCCTCGGTCAGCGGTTAGCCCCTGGATGCAGACATAGACTCAGCGCCCATAAGAGATATTTTTAATAAATGTCTGATCACTCATTGATCACTTTAATAGGCAGGACAGCGGCTGTTGGGTTGACGCTAACGTTAGGTCCTTTAGCTTTTATCAGGGTTAGCTCGCAGTGCCGCTAACAGAGGCTAGCACTCCTAACATCCATCTGTTTCTTATGGATAGGAAGCTAACGGCTAGGCTAAGTGACGCTAACTGTGTTTATGTGTCAGCATGAATCAGTTGTCTGTGTGAGTTATGGTATCGGAACAGAACCACGGAACCACTTTGAGTCGTAATGATCGACAGTCAATATTTAGGGTTTACTTTCATAATTATCAGTAGTAAAGTGATCACATGTTATCAATAACCTGATCGATACAGGATCAGTGCCTTCTTCTCTCCTTATCTCCTGTCCTTCATTTGTCTCTCGTTTGTTTCCCTCATCTACTTGTTTCCTTTTTCTTTCCAAGTTCCTTGTTTCCTTTCTTCCGTTTCCTGACCTTGTTTCCTTGTCTCCTGCTCTTGTTTCTGTCCTGTCCTTGTTTCTAATTGTTCCCTCTCCTCCATTCCCTGTTTTCTTTCTTTGGTTCTTGTCCCCTTGTCTCCTCTTCTTGTTTTTTCTCTGCTATCTTGACTCGTTGTCTCCTTGTTTCCTCTCTCCTTGTGTCCTCCTCTCATGTAACATCTTGTCTCTTTTCCTTGTTTTTCTTCCTAATTGTGCCTCCTAGACATCTTTTTGTCTCCTCTCCTTCTGCTCTGTCCTTATTGTTTCTCCTTGTTCATTCCCTCCTCTGGTATCTCTCCTTGTTTTGTCTCCTTGACTTTTCTCCTTGTTTCCTTTCCTGTTATTATTGATGATAGATTTTGTGTGCAGGTTGTGCTGAGGCCTGGTTTCTGTCTCCTTGTTTCCTTTCCTAGCTTTCCCTCCTTATGTCCCCTCACTCCTGTTGCCTGCTGCTGCTTATTGATTATTGATTGTGTGATCAGGTCTTGCTGAGTCGGTGGTGGCAGCCGCGTGTTCCAGAGTTGGACAGAGAGTTCTTCACGTCGACAGGTCATTACTTATTCATCAAGAACACTCACTGATTAATAATCAATATTATCAATTACAGAATGTTTTCAAAGGTGAGGTAAAAATCAATAAGTATCTGCTGAATTGATGTATTTGTATATTGATAACTGAGGGCGTTGCTATAGAAACGCCTTCACATTACAGCAATAAAATATTTTATCAGTGATAGATCGATCAGTTAGATCAATTGATTGATGTCAGAGTGTCAGAATAAGAGCATAGAGTGATGCTTTTATTGTGGAAGTGACAGCTTCCTGTGTGTCTTTAGGCGGAGCTACTATGCAGCCAATTGGGCGAGCTTCACCTTCAACGCTCTGCTCACCTGGATACAGGAGCATCAAGTAAGCGTTACTGATTGTCAGGTTGTTGATTTGGTGGGCGGGGCCAGATGCCCAACAGGAAGTCATCAGTGACAGTTTCCTGTGTGTTTGTAGGCAGAGTCTCTGTCAGAGGAGGTCCAGGATCGGTCGAGCTTGGTGGAAGAAGGGGAGGAGCTGATCTACCTGTCAGGCTCAGACTCCGCCTCCATCAGTAACCTGCAGGTGTTCTGCTACGTCAGGTAAACTCCTGCATACCTGTAAGGTCACATGAGTCAGAGATCAGTTTATTGATTAAGGTATCAATACGTCTCAGTGAGGAAGCCGAGGAGGAGGAGCCTCCAAACACCACAGAAGAAGAAGAGGCGGGAGCAGCAGGTGAAGACGCTGCTAAAGAGCCATCAGAGACCGAATCAGCAGGTCTGTCTTATATTGATCCTGTATCGACTCTCTGAGCTTTGATTAGCCGGTTTTAAACCAATCAGCTCTTTCAGGTTCAAAAGAAGAAGAAACAGGTGAGGCAACTGAGGGAGACGAGCAGGTGAGGAAGAGCAGCCCTCCCCTGACATTCACATCAATTCCTGATTGACCAGCTTCGAACAATAATAACTGCATACTTCCTCCAATCACAGGCTGCTCAGGAACAGGGGGAGGAGCCAGAAGCGGATCAGCCACAGCCCTCTGCTCCTCCCAGCCAATCAGAGCCAACCAGGAAGAAAATCAGCTACACCCAGCTGGTAAAGGAAGGACGCCGGTTCAACATCGACCTGGTTTCTAAGGTAACGTGACATCAGCACAGCAAAGGACAGTCCTCTCGGCCAATCGTGTCCCTCGGTGTATCCCACTGCTTTCTGATTGGTTGTTTGACCCGAGCTCCGTGTGCTTCATCTTCATCTCCCTCCAGCTCATGTACTCTCGCGGCTCATTGGTCGACCTGCTCATCAAATCAAACGTCAGTCGCTATGCAGAGTTCAAGAACGTGACCAGGATACTGACCTATCGCCACGGCAGCGTGGAGCAGGTACGAGCTGTGTC